ATGGTGAGGGGCCCCAGGTGCAGGCTGCCCACTCCCCCTATCTAATTGCTTGCTGAGCCCAGGCCCTGATATATACACAGAAATTCATGTCTACCTGCTCTGTCTCTTACTGACTTTCACAAAGAAAATCAGGACCAAGCTCCGCCTTCTAAACCTTCCCAACCTCATGTGGAACACAGACCAGGACTCAGAAATCATAACAGAATAGCACAGTCCTCAGGAGTATGAGGTTAGGAGCCAAAGTGCTTGGGTTTGGCTCTGCCAGTTGCTAGCTTTGAGTAAATTTCTTAAGTTGCTATGCCTTAGTTTCTTTTCTATGAAATGTAGATTCTTTTTTTAAAGAATTATTTTATTTACCTTTATTTATTTAATTTAACCAGAGCAGGACAGAGTGAGAGAGAGGGAGAGAGAGAGGAAAATGAGAAAGCAAGCCACCAGCTCTGAGACTCGAACCGCAGTCACTCTTGGGAGTTCAGCGTTCTTAACCACCATGCCACCTGCCGGCCCCAATTGGGATAATATATATTTTTAATAATTATTTAATTTTATTTATCATTATTAATTTTTAAAATTTAACCACAGAGAGAGAGAGAAAGACACCAGGTCTGGGACTCAAACCGTGGTTGACCATGTGGGAGTCCAGTGCCTTAACTGTCCTGCCACCTGCCAGCCCGGTAGATAATATTAATTAGCCTACTCTGTAGGGTTGTTTTAAGGATTGATTGGATTGGTACATGTGCTCAAAGAATGTAAGCTGCTGTTATTTATTTATTTTAGGTTTTGCCATAGGGCGTGTATGCTAGAGAGAGACAGAGAGAGGGAAAGTGAGAAATCACCTCCCGGGGATGGCCATGCATCAATCCCTTCTCCAGTCTCCTCTTGAGATTTTGGGCGCACACACACACACACACATACACACACACACACACCCCTGATGTGATTTTTCAAGCTGCCACGCCCAGAGCTTGGGCTACTGTTGGCCATGTCGGGGGAGTCTAGCACCTTAACCACCACACCACCTGCTGGCCCCAAGCTGTTGTTATTTATTTATTTATTTATTTTGGAGAGATTTTCGCTATAGGGCATGTGCGCTCGCCCTATAGACAGACAGAGAGAGACATAGAGACAGAAAGCGAGAAATCACCCCCCAGGGGGGATGGTCATGCCACAATCCCTTCTCCTCCACTCTCCCCTCGGGATCCTGGGTACACACGCACACGTGCCCGGCGTGAGTTTTAAGCCACTGGGTCCGGGACGCGACCCAAGGTCAACCACGTGGGAGTCCAGCAACATAGCCATTACGCTACCTGCAGGTTCCCAAGCTGTTGTTATTTTTATCAGTGCTATGATAGAGTTGAGAACAGGAGGCTGTGGGACTCTAAACAAATGAACTAAACCTAGCCTGGGGGTTAGAGAAAGATTCATGAAGCCTGAACTGAGGCCTAAGATAGAAGGGCAGGGTTTATAGACTGTCTTCAGCCTTCAGGCTCTCCTCTTCCAGTTCAAACTTCAAAGTCCATATCGCCTACAAGAATGTTTTTTCTAAATAACAGACCTTGCCACTACTTAAAATCATCTTTATATTCTCCACACCTACAGAATAAAGTGTGTTTTCCTCACTGGACCGTGACCACAGGAGGCTAGCGTAAAGCCTGGTCACTTTGCTTCCTCTGCAAGACAGTGATCCTCTCAGGGCTTGACTGGGTATGATTCACTTCTATGTCCTCAGCATCACCTAGCACAAGGCTGGGCACAGAGAGCACTGATAATCAGTGTATTCCAGGACATGTGGTTCCTGGTGCTCAAACAAGGCAGAGTTGGGGCAGGTGGCCCTCCCATGCCATGGCGTGAGGTCCAGCCTAAGTGGCCTATTATGTAAGCAGTATTTCTGAAAAAGCAGACTAGCTGAGAGGTGTGTTTCTAGACTGAGATAAGAGTGGGCTGCTTGAGGCTTGAGACCTATGGGGGAGGCTTTTGGGGACCAGGAACAAGAATCAGCAGGACCATATCAGCCCTTGTTTCCCCCCTCCCCAGGGACCGCTACCCCCGCATTGGAGACATCCTGCAGAAGCTAGCACCCTTCCTCAAGATGTATGGCGAGTATGTGAAGAACTTTGACCGGGCTGTGGAGCTGGTCAACACCTGGACAGAGCGTTCCACCCAGTTTAAAGTCATCATTCATGAGGTGCAGGTAAGTGGTGAAGCTGAATGGAGCAGATGGATCAGGAGAGGTTGGTGGGGACCTGGTGGGATCTGCAACCAGACCTAAACCCTTCTGCTTCTGCCCATCACAGAAGGAGGAAGCCTGTGGCAACCTGACATTACAGCACCATATGTTGGAGCCTGTGCAGCGCATCCCCCGCTATGAGCTGCTTCTCAAAGACTACCTGTTGAAGCTCCCCCATGGCTCTCCAGACAGCAAAGATGCCCAAAGTGAGTGTGTACACCCAGACCTTCTGCTTCCCCGCACTGGTAGTCCTAGGCCAGACCGCCGAAGCAGGTCCCAAGACTTAATGCACAGGGTCATCCTTCCATTGTCACATGATTGAGAGCCCAGAATAGGATCTCCAAACTGAAAGACCCACACTGAGGTTTTGAAGTAAGACTCCAGGATAAACATCCAGGTTGAGATTCCAGCCTAAGAACCCAGACAAAACATTCAGAAGTAGTACTCAAACTGAAACCCAAGTTTGAGGGGCATGCCTAGAATGATACTCCAAGAGGGGCCATCCATTTCCTAGGTTAAGACTCCAAAACCGACAACTCCCCCATCACCCTGGAATGAATTTTACTAAGTATGAAATGAAACTGAGCTTGAGGCTTCTTTACTAAATCTCCATGGCTGAGCTCCTCAGAAAGAGCTCTGTCTCATCAAGCTCCTGATTTCCCATCTACCAGATTTAGAGCTTCACTCCCTGCCTACCAGCTACTTATGTAGAACAAACATCTCAAAACACTTACAAGTCTGATCAGAGCCCCCACAAAATCACCTCTCCAGAAGCGAGCATCCTAGACTGGATGCTGGGATATTTTCCATCTTTCAGATTTGGATCTCTAAGGCTAGACAGCTTCTCCTCAGACTGTGCCATCACATTGAACCACCAGAAAAGTATGTCATTCTGGGGGCCAGCAGGTGGGGGGCCAGCAGGTGGCATGGTGGTTAAAGGCGCTGGATGCCCACATGGTCCACCATGGTTCGAGTCCCAGACCTGGCTTTCTCACTTTCCCTTTCTGTCTTTCTCTGTCTGATCAAATTTTAAGATAATAATAATAACAACAAATGGAATTAAATAAATATATAATTATAAAAAAGAAAAAAAAAAGAAAGAAAAGTATTTCATTCTGATTTCTTCCTTATCAGCCACACCACTATAGGGTCACAACCTAGATAGAATACACCACT